TTTATCAGGGATCTAAGGGGGGCATCATGAAAATATGGAAATTAAGCTCCACATGGAACTTGCGGTGGTATCATAAAATCCCCAGATGTCTTCATGCATGTGGAGGCCCCATCACTACCCCTTATGTCATAAGAGGGGTTAGCCTTGGGGGAAGATCTTTCTCTCCTTCTCTTCCACCACGGACTATGGCTGGAGGTGCTGCATGGGTGGTCTCTCTCCCTCCCCCACTTCTCCTCTCTTCAGGTAATCCTCTAGCTTACTCATAATGGGTATTTCTCCATGTGCGGCAACGCACACTCACATGTGTATGTGTGTTCCCCTTCTCACCATTTGAATACATTTTCTTATCACTTTGTGTACTTTATATGTGTCTGCAGTTAGAATGCTTGTATTTGTGTGATGCAGAAACCTGGAAAAAATTAATACATCCTTGCCCACATCACGACAACAAAACACTGTTAGTGCATGTACGCACCTACATAGGAAAATTACATGGCTGGTGGACAACTGAGGTGGTGAGGGGAGTTACCATCTTCTCTGTACCTTTTGACCCTCCTATCATGCAGAAAGATTACCTATCCAAAATTTGCTAATAAAAAGTCTAAAAATTTGCATATGATGCATAACATTGTTAGCTATGTACTTTGTTCTAGATGAACAAAGTACAATCCTATATTGCATCCTTGGCAAATTTAAACCATGTGGAAAACACTTTGAGTTTATATGTAAAAGGATTTTTATGTGGAAATGGACTTAGATAAATAGAAATAATGCTTTCACTAGCATAAAGATGCAGTAGGGTACCTAAAAGGCAGGCTGTATGCAACCCCTTTACTGGGGTCACCCACTTTATTGGGGGTGACTGTCTCATGGATTAAAGAGTATATGTCATTCTTGCTCTCTATCTGAATGCCAGCCAAGAAATGTTCACACAGATTTCAAAACCAACTGAAACAGCCCGAGTAAGTCCTGTCTAGGCCATGCTTGCCCCTAGAGATCTCCTCAACTGGCATCGAAGATCCCCTAGTTGTCCACCCTTAGAATCACTTGTTTAGGTTAATATATTTTCCTCAGAGCATCATTACAAAATGTATGCTACCTGGGAAGGGGTGCGGAGCCAACATTCATTACAAATCCATACACTGAGAACATTAACTGCTATTTTTGAGAATGAACGCATCTTTGAGGTAACTTGAGGCAAAAGAAATTGGGCAGACATGCTCAAATATGGACCTGGAGAGGAGTGGACACGGAGCGCCCCCCATATAAAATTCCACAGGGAGGAATCAGGTCCAGTACAAACAGCTGGCCTCAAATGACCATTAGTTCACTGGGCTTCAAGTTTCTTTGTTCAGATAGCCTGAAAGAATGTTGTTAAGACACCAAATATTTTTTTTATCCTAAGTTTAGCTTCAAAAGATATAATTTCTGAAGTCTTAACATGTTAGATTTTAAAAGTAACAGTTTTACTTTTCTTTTATATCCTATACAGCCTAAATACCAAGTTTTTAGTACTATCATCTAATTTATTTCTTTTATGATAAAAATTTTCAAACACAGAAAAGTTGAAATAATTGAACACCTATATATCCATATACTTAAATTCAACAATTAAAATTTACTTACTAAAATGTACGTTATTTTATATATATATATATATATCATCTCTCCATCCCTTTATCCAGATATTTTTATGCATTTCAAAGTAAATTGGAGGGGCCGGTGTCGTGGCTCATTTGGTTAATCCTCTGCCTGCGGCACCAGCATCCCTTATGGGTGCCGGGTTCTAGTCCCAGTTGCTCCTCTTCCAGTCCAGCTCTCTGCTGTGGCCCGGGAAGGCAGTGGAGGATGGCCCAAGTGCTTGAGCCCCTGCACCCGCATGGGAGACCAGGAGAAGCACCTGGCTCCTGGCTTCAGACCAGCACAGCGCCAGCTGTGCTGGCCATTTGGGGAGCGAACCAACGGAAGGAAGACCTTTCTCTCTGTCTCTCTTCTCTGTCTATAACTCTACCTGTCAAATAAAAATTTTAAAAAAAAGTAAATTGGAGATATAAGATATTTTTCCTCAAAAAACTCCAGCACATGTCTAATTAAATGAAATTCAATATTTGCTTACAGATTTCTTTTAAGATAGAAATAAAATAAGTAAATAAATAAAATATAAAATGTAAAAACAGAAACAAAATGTAAAAATCTGTATCTGCATCACTTGGACATCACAACTTTCAAGATAGATAGAGTTCAAAAGCAGAAAAGATATCACAAAAAAGAAAACTATGAACTAATAATTCTTATGCATATAGATGCAAAAGTCCTCAACAAAATACTTGCAAACTGAATCCAGCAGCACATAAAAGATTATAGACCATGGCCTGGTGGTATTTATTTTAAGAATGCAAGGTTGGCATAACACATGAAAATCAATTAATATAATCATTGTTGTGGCACAGCAAGTTAAGTCACTTCTTGGGATGCCTACATCCCACCTTGGAGTACCAGTTTGTGTCCCAGCTACTCTGTATCTGATCCAGCTTCCTGCTAATGTGCTTAGGAAGGCATCAGATAATGATCCAAGTCCTTGAGAGCTTGCCACCTGTGTGGGAGACCTGAATAGAGTCCTGTGCTTCTGACTTCAGCCTAGCCTAGCCCTGGTCATTTTAGCAACTTGGGGGAGTGAACCAGTGGCTGGAAGATTATCTATCTATCATATATCTATCTATCTATCTATCTATCTATCTATCTATCTCTGTTACTCTGCCTTTCAATAAATAAGTAAATATTTAAGAATACAGGAATAAGCCGGCGCCGCGGCTCACTAGGCTAATCCTCCGCCTTGCAGTGCCAGCACACCAGGTTCTAGTCCCGGTTGGGGCGCCAGATTTTGTCCCGGTTGCCCCTCTTCCAGGCCAGCTCTCCGCTGTGGCCAGGGAGTGCAGTGGAGGATGGCCCAAGTACTTGGGCCCTGCACCCCATGGGAGACCAGGAGAAGCACCCGGCTCCTGCCATCGGATCGGCGTGGTGCGCCGGCCACGGCGGCCATTGGAGGGTGAACCAACGGCAAAGGAAGACCTTTCTCTCTGTCTCTCTCTCTCACTGTGCTTCTCGGCCTGCTGTCTGAATAGACAGAGAAAACAATATGCACTACAGGAATAAAAAGGCTGTGATCAGCTCAATCAATAAAGAGAAAATACTTGATCACTGTAAAATCCTTTTTTGATAAAAAAAAAAATTCCAACAAACTAGGAAGAGAAGGAAATTTCCTCAGCTTGCTTGAGTGTCTACGAGACCCACAGCAACCATGAAACACTGACTGCTTCCCTCTAACATCAGGATGAAGTGTCTTGGTCTCACTATTTCTCAATATTGCATTGGAGGTTCTAGCTAAAGCAGAAGTAAGAAAAAGAAATAAAAGACACCAAGATTGGAAAAAAAGGATGAAAACTATATTTATCTGCAAATGCCATAAACTTATATAAAGAAAATTCTATGGAATCTATGAGTACTAACAAAACTACTAGAATAAACAAGTTCAATAGGTATCAGAACACAAGATGAACATATAAAATAAATTATAATTGCAATGAATGACATTTACATTAAGGAAATAGATTTATAATAGCATGACAAAAATAAAATACATAAGAATACATTCAATAAGAGAAGTAGAAAACATGCACACTGAAAACTGCAAAATACCCAAAGAAATAAAAGAAAATCTAGATAAATGGAAAGAATTTCGGTTCATAAATCAGAAGACAATATTGGCAATGTTGTAAAATTCCCAGTATTTATCTAAAGATTCAATGTAATTATTAGTATAAAAAATAAGTTGTCTTATAAAAAGAAATTGACAAGTTGATCCTAAAGTTCATAAAGGCAGTTTAGATGTAAAAAAGCTACTGTTAGCTTTTAAAAGAACAGAATTAAAAGACCTATGTATCTTTTATTTCAAGACTTTCTACAAGGTTACAGTAACCAAGACTGTCTGGTATAGCTTAATGCTATACATATAGATCAACAAAATAGAATAAAAAATCTAGAAATAAAAACCTTAAATTTATGATTGATTTGTTTCTGACAAAGAATAGTCGTTTACACAAATGATGCTAGGACAAGCAGATATCTACATTCAAGAGAATGATGTTGGAACCCTACCTCATACCACACAAAAACTAACTGAAAATGGATCATGAGCATAAATATGAAAGCTAAAACTCTAAGAGGAAACATAAGATTAGATCTTCATAAATTTGGATTGAGCAAAAGTACAAGTAAAAAAGGCAGAAATAACAAACAAAAAAGATAAATTGAACTTTGTAAAAATTAAATTTCTGTGCTGAAAATATTAAAGGAAAACTGAGGACAGGAGAAAATACTTATAAACTATACATCTAATAAAGGACTTATTAGCTAAAACATGTAAAGAATTTATACAACTCAATAGCAAAAATATAAATAACTCATTTTAATAAATGAGTAAAGGACCTTGGTAGACATTTCTCCAAAGATTATATACAATAAGCACAATGCTTAATATGATTAATTATTGGGGAATTAAAAATCAACAACACCATTAAATATGATTTTACTCCCATTAGGATAGCTATGATTAAAAAGACAGACAGTAGAGTTGGCAGGGATGTGAAGTAGCTAGAAAATGTAAAATGACGCAGCTTTTGTAGAAAACAGTCTGGAAGCTTCTGAAAATACTCAACCTGGAAGAATCATATAATCTAGCAGTTACATTCACAGATATATATTCAAGGGAATTGGAAACATATTCACCTAAAACATGTGCACAAATGTTCGTGACAGCATGTGTTTATAATAGGCAAAAAGTGAACACAACCCAAATGTCCATCAACTGTTATAGATAAATAAAATGTGGCATGCACATACAATGGAAGATTGTTCAACTGTAGAAAGAAATGAAGTACTGATTTAGGCTATCGCATGGACAAACCTTGCAAACATTGTGCTAAATGTAAGAAATGGATCGGGGGCTTCCTGGCGGGGTTGGCGTGGCGTGTCGGTGGCGACATGCTCTACCATGTCGAAAGTGTCCTTTAAGATCACGCTGACGTCGGACCCGCGGCTGCCATACAAAGTACTCAGTGTTCCTGAAAGTACTCCTTTCACAGCAGTGTTAAAGTTTGCAGCAGAAGAATTTAAAGTTCCTGCAGCAACAAGTGCAATTATTACCAATGATGGTATAGGAATAAATCCTGCACAGACTGCTGGAAATGTTTTTCTAAAGCATGGTTCAGAACTCCGAATTATTCCTAGAGATCGTGTTGGAAGTCGTTAATGTCTGCCTCTGGATCCATACCTGTCACAATAAATATTGATATGTTGTGTTGTTGTAAAATTGAAATCAGGCATTTAACATACTGTGAAAATACCAAGAGTCCATGAAAAATAATGAAAAGTGGTTTTTCTCTCCCTTGTTTACATGTTGATGTGAAGAGGGAATGCTTAGGAATTGAGGTTATGACTACTATAGAAGGTCAGTCTGTTGCCTCAAAGCACAAGCAGGTAGTTCATTTGAAGTAAATGGATTATCAAACTGGAACTGGAGGATTCTTCTGATAATTTTTTCTGAGAACATTTGGAAAATTAAATTTCGCTGATCTTAATGTTTGTGTTTGAGTTAAAAATATAAAAGGATTATGGATTATAAATGGCAGTTTGTTCCATAGCATCTGGTTTGCAGACTCAAATAATCTGAATCTTAAACGATTTGTAGTTCATGATGAAGGTGATAGACATCAGTGGATAAGTTAACTGTCTTAACGTCTTATTTAGGTTGTTTTTAAGTTTCAAAACTTCACCTGTCATATAAATTTCAATTTGATATCAAAGAACTAAAAAAAATCTTTTAACACTTACGTTTGTTGATGTTCCACACCAAATAGTTTTATTATCCGCCTTTTGCAGGGATGGGAATCAACAGTATAGAAGCTTCCTTTGCTGTGTTATGCATTCCTTTATCAATCTCTTTTAATACAGTTTCAAATAAAACTTATTGAGGATAGTGTTTCTAAATAGCATTCAGGACTAATGTTGCCCAAAAATCTGAAATCTACAACAATGTTAAAGGAAATGCTAATGAGTTACACTTAACGTAAGGCCTAACAAAGAAAACACTAAAATTAGTCACCCAACAGAATAAAGAGCCAGGAAAGGGAGAGTGGGGAAGCCCTCAGGCAAGGAGGAAAACAGCAAAGATCAATAGAGCAGGGGACCAGCAAGCTGTCAGAAATGGCCAGTTGAGTAGAACAAACTCCAGGAGGTATGTAGGGAAGATCTGAAAGGGGATAGTTACCTGACAAAGACACACACAGAAGGCCATTAGAGAAAGCAGAGAAAGTGTGGGCCTTGTCAATGTACAGATTACAACATGTCCCTTAGGGCAATCCAAAGAATGATTTTATTTGTCCTTCCAGAGCGATTCAGAATCTGCAGATCTTGAAAGATGGAGGCTCCTAGTGATTCAGAATCTGCTGTATTCTAAATGGTGAACTTGCTGGGGAAGCATGTTCTTTGGAACTGGAAATATAGTAGGCTTCTAATAAATACTTGCTGAGTAATCCATAAATTAAGATCTGTTTTTATCTTAGTAGGTCTCATTAGTTTCCTTCTCTCAGGCCCTTGGTTCTTTGAAAAAAACTAAAATGCAACAGAATCTTATGCATAGTGATATGGATGGTTAAGATTAAAACCTTACCAAGTCTTGTTTGTAAACTCAACTGAACAGTAGGATTCTGAGTTACCAAAGGGAACTTTGCTGAGGTATACTACCAATGTTAAAGGGAGTTTTTAGAAAATCTGATGCTCAGAGGTCCTTGTTTCTTATAAATCAAGCGTCAGTTAACCACAAATTTGTGAATACCCTTTCCCTGAAACTTTTAGTTTGAGTATTTTCCAATATATTTGTAGTGAAAAATCTACTTGTAATATTACATTAAATAAATATATAATGTCCTGTGCCATAAAATCATTTAGTTAATATTTTTGTTATTTGGCTTTGAAAATATGTGGTAAGCCATTAAAAGACATTTTATTAAACAACTCAGTATTTTGTTATTAAATACATATGATCTGTAAATTCTTTGTGTAGAAATTTTGAAGTATTCAGTTTAAATGCATTATTGGTCTATACTTAATATAAAATATGTTTTGTTATAAAAAAATGGATCAAAAGGCCACATGTTGTCTGATTTATGTAAATGTAAAATGTGCAGGATAGACAAATCCTTTAGAGACAGGAAGTAGACCAGTGGTTTGCTGTGCTAGAAAGGATGGGTGGGGATGGAATTAGGAGTGATTGCTAATGGGCTTCCTTTTGAGATGGCAAAAATGTTCTAGAATTAGTTAGCCATAATGGTTGTGCATATCTGATTATGCCAAAAACAACTGAATTGTATATTTAAATGGATAAAGTGGGTTGTATGTGCTATGGTTTGAATGTTTGTCTCCTCCAAAACTAAAGTTGAAATGTAATTATCATTAATTACAATATTAAGAGGTGGAACCTTTAAGAGTTGATTAAGCCATGAGAGCTCCGCCCTTAAGGCTGAATTACCATGGAAGAGAGTTTCTCATAAAGGGCTGGCTGATGGGCCAGCGCTGTGGCATAATAGGTAAAGCCACTGCCTGCAATGCCTGCATCCCATATGGGCACCAGTTTGAATCTTGGCTGCTCCACTTCTGATCCAGCTCTCTGCTATGGCCTGGGTGAGCAGTAGAAGATGGCCCAAGTCCTTGGGCCCCTGCACTCACGTGAGAGACTTAGAAGAAGCTCCTGGCTCCTGGCTTTGGATTAGCCTAGCTCTGACCGTTGCAGCCATGTGGAAAGTGAACAGTGGACAGAAGACCTCTCTTTCTGCCTCTGTCTCTCTGTAACTTATCTTCATTTCAAAGAAATAAAATTAAAAAAAAAAAAAGAAAACAGAAATTTAACTAAAAAATTAAGATACTATTGTTGAATAGTATTAACATAATAAATTAACTTGTGTTGGGACCAGCGCTGTGGCGTGGTAGGTTAAGTATCTGCCTGTGGCACTGGCATGTAGTGTGGGCACTGGTTTGAGTCCAAGGCAGCTCCACTTCTGATCCAGCTCTTTGCTAATGGCCTGGGAAAGCAGTGGAAGATGGCCCAAGTACTTAGGCCCCTGTTCCCATTTGGGAGACCTGGTAGAAGCTCCTGGTTAATGGCTCCTGGCTTCAGATCAGCACAGCTCCAGCCATTGTGGCCAACTGGGGAGTGAACCAGTGGACGGAAGACCTTTCTGTCTCTCCATCTCTCAGTAACTCTGTCTCTCAAATAAATAAAAAAATTTTTTTAAATCTTAACTTGTGTTTATTTCACTTATCAGGACCAAATTATCAGGAGTAAATTTGAGTCAAACATTCCATGTACAAAAAAATTCAGATACTGAGACTACTAGAAGACGAGGGCCCTGCACCTGCATGGGAGACCAGGAGGAAGCACCTAGTTCCTGGCTTTCGATTGGTGCAGCGCCAGCTGTGGCGGCCATTTGGGGGGTAAACCAGTGGAGGGAAGACCTTTCTCTCTGTCTCTCTCCCACTGTCTATAACTCTACCTGTCATATAAATATAAAAAAATAATAATAGTAACCTCTTTTTGTATAACTTTCTGTGATTTTTAAATCCACTTTCTGTCTTTACTGTGACACATTGATCCTCTAGCAGGCACTAACACAGTTGAGCTTCACCCTGAAGTTATCTGTCATTTGTTATCATTTATTACTCCATCAAGTCAGTGACATCACAATTCCTCTGCTTTGGGACAACTTGCCCTTCCAGCAGACACAGAGCTTTAATCAGATGCCTGCTGCTATTTCTCCTGATTCCTAAAATGATTATGCTGTGATTTACATTTTGTTTTCATCTTTTCTCCACTTGACTAGATGCAAAACGGAAGCAATTTAAAACACAGTCAATGAAAAACAGACCAGCAGGATGCCTCCTTTTTGCTGTGGGTTGCCAAGGATCCTGATGTACATTCATTCTTAAACCACTGGACCAAGCTTGCGCATAACTCTCTTGCAAATGGCCAGTTTCATTTGGGTAAGTAAAGGATGAAGTGGAATCATAACAGAAGGTGACCAGAGGCTAGAAACACAAAATATTGATTGGATTGGACACTCTTCTTTGACTGATGGATGTTTCAGTGAAAGATTTTGCTTCTCTTCCTTATTTGTGGTGCTTTGCTGTACAAGGATGTAAAATATTGGCAGTTATTCAGAACATTCCTGTTGTGATTGGTTCTGGATCTCTTGCAAGGGTGGATTCCACAGATGGACAATTTGGGTCACATTTTATAAATAGTTCAATCACGTTTCCCTAAAAGATGGATCTATTTTTTTTTTCCAATGAAAACCTTAAGTAGGAGCAAATAAAACACATAATGATTCCCAGGATATCATTTTTAGAAGTGTTAGGCAGTCGCTGCTGTAAGCAAAAATTAACTTCTGATATCTCTTCTTAAAATAAACCCTTATAAGCACAAGTTCCACCAACACAGGAAGCACAGAACAGCATCAAAAATGTCTCGGCTTGAGAGGCCCAAATCCTGTATCAGAGTGCTTGTTCCAATTCCAGCTACTCCGCTTCTGATCCTGCTTCCTACTAATACACCTAGGAAGGCAGCAAGTGATGGAGTTCCTGGCTCCTGGCTTCAGCCTGACCAGACTAGCTGTTGAGTGTCATCTGGGGAGTGAACCAGTGGATGTAAGATCTCTTTCTATCTCTGTCTCTTTCTGTGTCACTCCGTCCTTCAAATAAATAATTTTTTTTTGACAGGCAGAGTTAGACAGTGAGAGAGAGAGAGAGAGAGAGAGAGAAAGGTCTTCCTTCTGTTGGTTCACGCCCCAAATGGCCACTATGGCAGGCGTGCTGCGCCTATCCGAAGGCCAGGAGCCAGGTGCTTCCCCCTGGTCTCCCATGCGGGTACAGGGCCCAAGCACTTAGGCCATCCTCCACTGCCTTCCCGGAGCACAGCAGAGAGCTGGACAGGAAGAGGAGCAACCAGGACAGAATCCGGCGCCCCGACAGGGACTAGAACCCGGGGTACCGGCACCACAGGTGGAGGATTAGCCTAGTGAGCCGTGGCACCGGCCCAAATAAATAAATTTTGAAAAATGAAGATTGAGCATAAATAGTTTAATGTTTAAATAAAATATAATGTAGTTGAAGGAATCTGGCACAGACATTGGTATTGCACAATTCAGCAATTACAGGATATTGATAGATCATTAATCATAGATGGAAGTTATTGTTATTTGAATTTTTATTCATTTCCATTATATTTGAAAGACAGACAGAAAGAGATTTTTCCTCTGCTAGTTCACTCAACTGATTAATAATAACCAGGGATAGGCCAGTGTGAAGCCAGGAGTCTAGAATTCCACTTGGGTCTGTCATGTGGGTAGCAATACTTGAGCCATCACCTGCTGCCTCCCGTGGTGTGTATTAGAAAGCTGGAATCAGAAGCAGTCAGGACCCCAACTTGGGGCACTCTGATGTGGGATGTGGATGTCCCAAGTCTTAGCCACTGTGCTAAACACCTGGCTCATAAATGGAAGTTATTATTTCTATGTTTGCATAATAAAATGAAGTATTTACACATGTGGTTGGAAGAGATCATTTTTGAGTGAGAGTAAGGGAGCAAGGCAGAGACTCCCTGACTTCCAGCATCTCTCGTTTCCTGCAGTCTGAAGGTAAATAAGAGGACTTCTGCCCCCTAAGCCTCACACACTCTGAGATGTCAGCAATTAACAATGTTCCAATTCCAGATATTTAGGAAGCTTCTCAAAACATCCCCTTAGAGAAAGACCGGCCTCTAAGAACTGAAATCAATTTGCCATCTCTTCACCCCTTACAAACTCTTCAGTTGTGCCTTTCTCTGCATTCACATCCGATTGCCAGGTGACTTTTTAGGTTTATCCAAAGTCTTTTTCTCTTCCATCTGGGTCTTCCTTGGGGGTGGCAGGAATTCAGCTACTTGAGCCATCATCTGCTACTTCCCACACACATTAGCAGAGAGCTGGATCAGAAGCAGCGTAGCAAACTATAAAAATGATCCCAGAAAGTACAGGGATCACATAAATAAGACCAGTGTCTGCTAATAATAATTGATAGAATTAAAAAGGAGAGAACAACCCAACATGGGAAGCGGGATACATGACAGACTCATAGAATGGCAGATGCCCTAAACAGCACTCTGGCCTCAGAATCGGCCCTTAAGGCATTCAAATCTGGCTAAAAAGCCCATGAGAGTATTTCAGGCATGGAAAGCCACAACACTGTGGCAAAAAATGACCTAAATGAAAGATCCCTGTGAGTGAGATCCTAGCAGAAAGAAGGGGCCATCAAAGAAGGAGGTAACTTTCTCTGAAGGGAGGAGAGAACTTCCACTTTGACTATGGCCTTGTCTAAATAAGGTCAGAGTTTGTGAACTCAAGATGCTTCCATAGCCTTGGCTGCTCATGACAAGAGCATTGGGTGATTACTGATGTCATCGATAAGAATGCCGATTGTTAAATCAACAACAGCAGTCACTGTGCACTTACACCCCATGTAGGACCTCTGTCCTGAATGTGTTGTACTATGAGAATTAATGGTAAAACTAATCTTCAAACAGTACTTTATACTTTGTGTGTCTGTGTGGGCGCAAACTGTTGAAATCTTTACTTAGTATAGCGTTCATCTCTTTATATAAAGATAATTAAAAATTAATCTTAATGAAGAATGGGATGGGAGAGGGAGTAGGAGATGGGATGGTTTGCAGGTGGGAGGGTGGTTATGGGGGGGAAACTGCTATAATCTAAAAGTTGTACTTTCGAAATTTATATTTATTAAATAAGTTTTTTCTATAAAAAAAAGAAGCAGAGTAGCAAGAACTCTAAACCTATATGGTATATGGGATATGAGTATCCCAGGCAGGGGCTTTAATCCACAGTGCCGCAATATCTGCCCCCCCATTTGTTATTATTATAGCTTGATTGTCCTTTTCCAATTTAAAATATTACAGTAAGTATTGACTGGGAGACAAAATTCAGCCTGCTCAAGTATTGGGTCCTGATGCATAAGTCCTTGTGCTTCATCTGTCCAGGATCAGCAGTTTCTAAGTTAGAGCTGCCAGATTTAGAAAACATAGGATCAAACGGTGTGTGGGATATACTTATACCAAGCAAATATTCAGTGTTTATTTGAATTTATCTAGGCATATTGTCATTGGATTTGATGACCTTATTTTACATGAGTGGGCATAGTCAGAGATGAACAAAATATGGGGCATTGGGAAAGTATCATCTAATAAAAATGGGATAAATTTAATAAAACAAAAAAAGAAAAACTGACCCCAGTTTGTATAATAATAGTATCATCATCAGAAATGAATACTCTAAAAAAAAAAGAATATGGTTTCATGGATTTGGATTAAACATTTGAAATACAGATCTGATGATAGATTTGAGTTGATTATTCATTTTTGTATGACTCAGAAATATTAGTGGTTTTACAGCTATCAACATTTTGATTGGTAGGCACAACTTATAATGGAAGAGAGTGGTAAAGTTGGGAAAAAAGACTAACCTCTAAATTGAGATTTACTGCTTTATAGACAAGTAATTATACAGTCTTATTTTAGTAGTACTGTGCTTTATAATTTTTCCCAGTACTTAGCCCATGCTTAATTTTTTCTTCTGGAAGATTCTGTAAGAAGCTGCTTTCCATATATTAATTTCTATTAGCAACACAGAGGTCACTATAGAACCATTTGGAAGTTCTAATGTTAATAGCAAAGGGCGGAGCCAGCACTGTTGCATAGTGGGTAAAGCTACCACCAGCAGTGCTGGCATTCCATATGGACGTAGGTTCAAGTCCCAGCTGCTCCACTCCAATCCAGTTCTCTGCTATGGCCTGGGAAAGCAGTGGAAGATGGCCCAAGTCCTTAGGCCCCTGCTCTCACGTGGGAGACCTGGAAGAAGCTTCTAACTACTGGCTTTGGCTCAGCACAGTTCCAGCCATTGTGGCCATTTGGGGAGTGAACCAATGGATAGAAGACCTCCCTCTCTCTTTGCCTCTGCCTCTCTGTAACTCTGCCTTTCAAATAAACAAATAATTCTTTCAAATATATATATATCTATATATATATATGTTGCTGTCTTAGTTCATTGGATTTGGAAATTGCTTTTACTAATATAGTGATTCATTATACCTCACATTTAGCCCCAAAGAAAAAAAGCACTTGTTTTGAGATTAAAAAAAAATAAAATTTACATTTGGCAATAAGATTAGCATTTGAAAAAGTTATATTGATTCTATTTATAAAAGTAAATGAGGCAGCAAAACTATGATGATTCCTTTATCTCTGGTATGTTGTTTATAAGCTGTCAACTTTGAAGATATTTTAATATGCATTTTACAGAGAGAGGCATATTATATATGTTTTCAATTGAAAAATAAATTCTAAGTTTCAAGAGGAACAATATCTATAAAAGAAATCATTGAACTATATCATTAATAAGAGCTCTTTTGGCATGACAAGTATACATGCAATATCATTTGGCAAATGGAATTAAAAGATAAGTTCATTTTGGTGCCAAACTTTTTTTTGAAATCATGCACATAATGAATCTTTTAAAAGTCCATGAAAATGTGTATTATGAAAATATGCATGTAGTTATATTAATATCTCCAAGAAAATGAGGGGTCTTTAATTTTTTTTTTGTGATGAATTGTTGCCTTTAATACAAAGACACAAAAATCCTATATACATATGCATCTAACAGGAGAGCTTTCAAGCAGAAATGAGCAGAACTGAAGGGATTAAAAAAACAATGGCATAAATGGCCATAGCTGTGGTGTAGTGGGTAAAGCTGCCATCAGCAGTGCGGGCATCCCATATGGGTGCCAGTTTGCGTCCCTGTTGCTCCACTTCCAATCCAGCTTTCTGCTATGGCCTGGGAAAGCAGTAGAAGATGGCCCTAGTCCTTGGGCTCTTGTACCCATGCGGGAGACCTGGAAGAAGCGCCTGGCTCCTAGGTTTGGATTGGCTCAGCTCC